TCAATCAGATAAAATGATTTATGGCAGACTGACCACCAAAAAATCATCAAGTGGAAAATGCTGAAACATTTGACTCTGAGCTCACAAGCATGTCAACTATTACTAAGCCTGTTCAACATACTGCTAAAAACAAAAGCCAGTGCAATCAGGCAAGAGAAAGAGAAAGGGTCTCATAAAAAAGCAAGAAGTCAATCATTGCTTACAGATGACATGTTCTTTTATTTAGATGAGCCAAACCCTGAAACAGAGATTTCTAGAACTAATAACTGAATTCGACAATGTAGCAGCACACAATAGCATTCCTATCTACCAGCAATAAACTGACTGAGAGATAAATAAAACAAAACAATTTCACTTATGAGTATGTCTTCAAGAGGCATTGACTTAAATATAAAGGCTTTGAGTTTATCATTCTTTATAGCTGAGTAGTACTCCATTGCATAAAAATACCACATCTTTTTCATTCATTCCTTAGGTGATAGGCATCTTGGTCATTTCCAAGATTTGGATATCACAAATTGTACTGCTACAAACATAGGTACACATATATCACTATGATATGATATTTTCAGTTCCTCTGGGGAAATTCCCAGGAGGGGGTTAGCTTGTTTGAATGGAATTTCCAGTCCTAGTTTATTAAGGAGTCTCCACACTGATTTCTGTAATGGTTGCCTCAGTCTACCTTCCCACCAGCAGTGGAGAAGTGTTCCTTTTTCCCAGCAGCCTCTCCAGCATTTGTTGTTGGTTTATTTCTTTATAATAGCCATTCTTTGTGGGGTGAGATGGTATCTCAGTGTTGTTTTACTTTGCATTTTATGGATGGTTAGTGAAGTGAAGCAGTTTTTCATATATTTATTCACTTCCTTAATTTCGTCCTCTGAGAAGTATGTGTTCATCTCATCTCAGATGCCCATTTCTGGACTAAGTCATTAAATTTTGGGGTCCTAATTTTTTTAGTTCTTTATAAATTCTAGAGTGAAGACCTTTGTCCTTGTGTTTACTAGTTAAGATTTTTTCCAAATTTGTGGGTTGCCTTTTCACTCTGTTGGTAATTTCTTTTGATGTGCAAAAACTTCTCAGTAAGAGCAGGTCCCAGTTGTTAATTCTTTCAACTGTTTCCCATGCAATTTGATTTCTGTGCAGGAAGTCTTTGCCTACCCTTATGTCTTCAAGAGTTCCTCCTACTTTCTCTTCCAGGAGATTTAGTGTCTCTGCTTTAATGTTTAGATCTTTAATCCATTTTTACTTTAGTTTAGTGCATGGTGATAGACCTGGGTCAAGTTTGAGTTTTCAGCATGTAGAGAGCCAGGTTTTGCAGCACCATTTGTTAAAGAGTCTATCTTTCTTCATGTAGACTTGCTTGGCCCCTTTGCTGAAGACAACTTGGCTGAGAGTGTTTGCAGAGGCTTCTACATCTTCTATTGTATTCCATTGATCCTCAGGTCTATTTTGTTGCCAGTATCATGCTGATTTTTTACAGTAGCTTTGTAGTATAATTTCAAGACAAGAACCTGCCTTGTCTTTGTTGGCTAGGATATCCTTTACCATTCTAGGTCTTTTCTGGTTCCAAATACATTTTACAAATGATTTCTCTAGGTCTGTGAGGTATGTTGGTGGTATTTTGATAGGAATTGCATTAAATCTGTACAACAAATTTGGGAGTATGGTTGGTTCTTCCTATCCAGGAGCAAGGAATATCTTTTCATTTTCTGAAATCCTCTACTATCTCTTTTTTCAGAGTACTGTAATTTTCATTGAATAGATCTTTATCTTCTTTAGTTAGATTAATTCCAAGGAGTTTCGTTTTCCATGTTGTTATCATAAAAGGTATTGTTTCTCTAATTACCCTCTCAGTGTGTTTGTTATCTATGTAGAGGAATGCTATTGAGTTTTGTGCATTGACTTTGTATCCTGCTATGCTACTGAATTTGTGTATTAATTCTAGTAGCATCTTGGTGGAGATTTTTGGGTCTTCCGAGTAAAGTATCATGTCATCTGCAAATAATGATAGTTTAATTTATTCTTTACCTATTCTTACTACTTTCATTTCTCTCTCTTGTCTAATAGCTCTAGCTAATGATTCCAGAACTACATTGAAAAGGAGTGGTGATAGCGGATATCCTTGTCCTGTACCAGATCTGAGAGTAAAATATTTCAGTTTTTCCCCATTTAGAATTATATTAGCCATTGGGTTGTGATACATGGCTTTTGTCAGATTGAAGTAGAGGCCATCTATTCCAATTTTCTGTAGGACTTGGAACATGAATGAGCGTTAGACTTTGTCTGGAGCCTTTTCTGCATCAATTGTGATGATCATGTGATTTTAGATTTGGCTCAATTGATACAGTATATTACATTTATAGATTTGTTTATATTAAACCATCTTTGCATCCCTGGGATGAATCCAACCTGGTCATGGTGTATAATGTTCTTGATGATTTGCTGTATTCTATTTGCTAGGATTTTATTGAGGATTTTTGCATCTATGTTCATGAGGGAGATAGGCTTGTAGTTCTCTTTATTAGTTGTGTCTTTCCCTGGCTTTGGTATCAGTATAATACTTGCCTCCAGGAATGATTTTGGGAGGATTGCTTCCTTTTCAATTTCATTGAAGAGTTTGAGGTGTATAGGGAGTCTGTCTTCTGTGCATTTCTTGTAGAATTCAGCTGTGAATCCATCAGGACCTGAACTCTTCTTTGTCAGTAGGTTTTTTTAAAATTATATTTCATATTTCCTTGGCTTTTAATCAGTTATTGAGAGTTTTTATATCTTCTTGATTCAGTTTTGTTAATTTGTACCTTTCTAGGAATCTGTCCATTTCTTCTGTGTCTTATAGTCCGTGTGAGTAAAGATTCTCAAAGTAGCTATTGATAATCTTCTGAATTTCCACTGGGTCTGTGGTAATTACACCCTTTTCATTCCTTGTTGCTTGTATTTCAATTTTTTTATTTCCTATTTTTGATGAGGTTAGTTAGGGGCTTATCAATTTTATTTAGTCTTTCAAAGAACTAGCTTTCTGATTCGTTAATTCTTTGAACTGTTTTCTTCATCTCAATTGAATTAATTTCTGCTCTATTCTTTATGCTTTCTTCCCATCTTTGGGCTTTGGGTTTGGTTTGCTCTTCCTTTTCTAGATGTTGGAGGTGCAACATCAAGGTGTTTATTTGTTCCTGTTCTGTTTTCCTATTGTGTGAGTTCGCAGCAAGAAATTTCCTTCTGAGAACTGCTTTTATTGCATCGCATAAATTGTGATAGGTTGTGCTGGAATTTTCATTGGATTGTAGATATTGTTCAGTTTCTTGTTTAATTTTATCTGTGAGCCATTGGTTGCAAGTAGAGTGTTGTTTAATTTATGAAGATATACTCATCACTTGTGTAAATATCATATAGTCTCCCTAGTATAAGAACTCAAAAGAAGAAATAAAAAGAGAAAAGGACAACACAGTTACAAGGAAAGCAAGAACTTGAGGATAAGACAAAGAAGAGTGGGCAAGGAGAAAATCCAGGAAACATGACAGGGGCAAAGCCACACATGTATATGAACAAGATGGATAAGGCAATGACCCTGAGAATCCTCAACATGTTTTTGAAACTAGCAGTTAATTGGTAGAATTCTCACCCTGAGTAACTATATATGCTGATACCTGTGAACTAAGCAACAGCACTGAAGATAGCAATGTGTAATGGTACGGTCATGCTTGGAATGCCTGTCCTTTTGGTCTTCTAAATATGTTCTGCTTATCATGACATACAATTACTGCCATATTGCCTCTCAAGTAAATGTTTGTTTTTAAAAAAGTGTAATATATGAAAGCAAGAGACAAGAGAAAAAATGTCACAGGACTGTTCTGCTACAAAGTTGTATGTGGTTAGATTTCTAAATTTCTGTGTTAAAATATGTAACCGTTTATTCCTATTTTTTAATCAGTTAATTAAAAAAATTTTTTCTTCATATTCTGGAGGGATTAAAAGTTTAACATATCAATACTTGATGAAAAATACCTGTTTCATGTTATGCCTATGATGTTTGATATTCAGACAGATAGTGAAGTTAAGTTCAACTGCCTCTGTTGTAGGGTAATAATAATAAGCTTCTCTTCTGGAGTGTTAACAACCTAAGTTTTCAGACCAAAAATTAGAGAAATAGAAGGGCTGCAAGGACAGCCAGCATTTTGACCCTTGTCTCTCAAGGTCAGTGAAGTCTCAGGACATAGGAGATCCTATACTGTAACACCATGTAACTCAATTGTGTCCCAAATTTTCTGATCAAGGAGATTATGGGGCCACCGACAAAAGTG